AAAAAAAAAAAAAAAAACAAAAACAAAAAACCCTTGCCTTCACCCTGTAACCAGAACACTATTTGGGTTTCTGCCTAAATCTGCGTTTTCCAAATAGCTATTCTTTGATCTCAAACACTTATTGCCTTTCACTTTGGATTTTATTTTTAGGGTTAGGCTGGTAGATTCCAGCCTTAGTGTGTGTCTCCGGGTAAATGAAGCAGGCTCTTATTGCTTTCTATGAATCACAGAAGAAAGAGCCAAACTACTTATAAGCACAAGGACTCCAAAGGTATCGCAGCACAGATGGAAAAACTCAAGTGCCTACAACCCTTGACAGTCTCCAGTTTAACTACATAGCTCCGATTCTCTTCACAGACTAAAAAGGAAACCCAATTCAAGAAAACTGATAAGGCTTTCTTTTCCGTGGGGAAAATGGACAGGGCAAATTGCTCTCAAAAACCTGAAAGCTCCACCGCCAATTGTTGAAAAACAATGGAGCCTCCACTGGCTGTTCTTTCTGCCCACAGAATGCTCTCAGAGGAACTGCAGGGTTGGGAAGCAGTGCAGAGGCCTATTCCCCATCTCAGGCACATCAAAGTTTTAATCAAAACCTGCCTTTCTCTTTGTGAAACTAAGCAGCTGCTATTTCACACCCACATATTGCTGGAGAGCATTCAATTACCCTCAACGACTTTGTTTAAAATGAAAAGGCTTTGCCTCCTGAGGACAGTGTGAGAGGATTGATTAATGTTGGGCAGAAGTGTAAGTACACAGAACAATCCTAAGTACTGGAAGCTACAGCTGGGCCATATTGTACAAGCAACTCAAACCTAGCTTCACGTTTTTGGTAAGGAATAAGGGCTTTTAAGGCAATTGGATATGTCAAGGGGTATACTGTGCTGTCTTCTTCCCTCTTCCTTTCTGACGATAAACACAGAACTAGAAAACTAAGAGGAAGATGAGAAGTGATGAAGAAAGACCAAATTTTGCCATATGGTTTTTCAGGAGAAGAGGAAACATTTTCTTTTTCTTTCTGACACATTGTGCCAAAGGATCCGTGACTAACAAACCAAGCCAGCACATTGCTGGGTTCTGTGGCTCTGTAACTCCGAAGTCACTTTTCTATCCAACATATTAAATGTCAAGAAAAATATCTCCGATGACAGAGAAGAAATTTCTTCAGGGAGCTTGGCCGCTGTATGAGCGCCTTCCCTGTGCAAATGAGCCACATATTTTGCTGCTGTCATTCAGGTGAGCTGCCAACCTGTAAGGGAAACATCTACCTACGACGACATAAAGATGCATAATCATGGAGAACTGTATCTTGGTCCTCTATAAATGCCCTCCAAAACAACTTTACCCATGTAATCATAGTACATGTCTATTTAAGAAAAAAAATCAGAAAGACACACACACACACAAAAAAAAAAAAAAACAGAGAAAAGAGAAGAGGAAGAAAAAGAATCACAGAGGTATTTCGATGCATGCATAGTATGCAGAACCAGGACACTAAGAGCTCTGACGGAATGCTTAACGCCTCTGCAGTATACAGGAAGGTGTGGGCTCCAGGCCAGTCCTAATCGAAAAGAGCAGTATTTCTCCATCATGTGTCCCGAGCCCTCACCTCATTTCACAATGCCCTGGGGTTAGAATCCCTGATGTGAAAGAGGATTTCATACTTAGAGCGCATTCTTGCATGGTTTGGTGAAAGAAAGGGAAAAGAATTACCGGTGAGGGCTACACTTCACTTCTCTTTCTTATAACGATTATTTTCTTTCAGAAAAGCATAAGCTATGATCAGTGTGGCAATATAATGACTGATTTTTTGTTTTTCTAACACCTGCAAAAGAAGCACATTGGCAAGAAGAAGCAGCAAACCAATTATTTCATGCAGGTTTTCATCCACCCAGATAGCCATGCTCAAAATAGATGGAACTTGTTCTCCTTCACCAACCAATCTGGTAGGTGCCTACGGCAAGAACCCAAGAACCTAAACAACATTGTGTGTCATTATTCTCAACAGACCAAAGTTAAGTAAAATAAAATCCAAGGAGTTTAACACATAACTTCCAAACTTTAACTACAACAATTATTTAACATTTCAGCACATCTCGATAGGAGGCTAAGAAGGAACAAGATTCGTGCCCCAGGGATACCGAGCTCTGTTCCCAGAAGTAGGAGAACAGATCAGACAAGTCTTTCCAGTTTTGAGGAACATTTTAATTCAAACTAAAAGCAAGTGGGAGGGAGAATGAAGCAAATTCAAGAGTCCTGCTATCTAGGAACTTGGGACGGTTAGAATGTATACCCTGAAAATAAGTAAGTAAATAAATAAATAGAGCTAGGGAGAAGGAAATCCAGGGAAATTTTTTCCTTAGGAGGCTAAAAATTTAATAGTTTAAAAATAGCAATAAACTCACTTCTGTCTTATATTTTTCAACCAAAGACATTTAGAGTTACGGACAACAGGTTGCAATAGATTCTTCTCTCTTTCACACATTGGTGCTCAGGAGTAAGCATTTACTAGATGTCACTCAGGGAAACACCATCCTTTCCATCAAGAACAACTCTGGAGACAAAACATTCGATGGGAAATGGATTACCAGGCCACAACACGCGCAAAGCAATCACAAATTGGGAATGCATTTCTGCTGCCATCTCAAACTGGGGGAAGATCAGCATGGAAGAAGGACCGAAATGGGGAGGTTTCCAGGCAACATCCTTGATCTGAATGTTCAAGGATGGAAAGGAAATGGGTTATAACAACAAATTACATATGGGAACAGCTGAGGCTAACGACTTGGGCAGATTAGTGAAAATTAAAGCTACCATTACCGAGTGCTTACAATGTGCCACACTCCACACAAACGTTTCCTGTTGCTTTTTCTAAGCTAATTTAAACAAAGCTGAGTCCCGGGGTGCAGACTCCGATCTCTCATGTTTGTGGCCCCCTCGCTCCCTAGTTGACCCCTACACTCTCATGGCTTCAGGGGCCCTGAACTGATGACACCCACATTTCTATCTTCAGCCTGGACATCTCCTCCAACTCCGGACCTGTACAGCCAACTGCCTGTTGGACATTTCCACCTGGATGTCTAAAGAATATCTCAAACTCACCGTGTTTAAAACCAAACTCCTGATTTCCATCCATTCCCCCTTAAAACAACAACAAAAAACTAAACAATAATGACAACGGAAAACTACTTCTCCCTCATCTACCACCAGAACACATCCAAAAGCGAACACTTCTCACACCTGCACTTCTTTCGCCGGCTCTGAGCCACCACCACCATCTCTAGCCTGGATCGCTGCAGCCTCCTAAAAGTGATGCGAGTGAACTTCCCCTCCAGTGGCCCTCGGAGTCGGTGCCCTCCAGACTTTAACACGTGGCACTGCCAAACTTTTACATATGTAGGACAGGCTCCAGGCACAGACCGTGTTGTCCAAAGGGGAGACCAAGAGTGATTCTTGGACAGGTGACAACAGAAACAACAGAGGATGAGAGCCGATGTGAAAGGGAGAGTGCAAGGTGGGGTTGAGTATATCAAAAATGGGACATCCAAGAACACCCAGAGAGACAAAAGAATCTGAACTGTAAGACATATCAAGTCCTAGGTCAAATGTTCCCTCTCCGTCAGCCTTTCTTGAGTGTCCAGGTAGAGTTCAAGACCTTGATTATAGCGTCTGTCACATTACCGGAGGCCTGTGCTGAGTGCCTCCCCAACTAGGCTTTGAACTCATTTTGTAACCCCAGCACCTGATGCAGCACCTGGGACCTGGTAAACCCTGGGCCAAAGTGCACTGGATGCGCAACATAGTATCGTGGAATGTGCATTAGGAGCATGGAGAAGGAACAGGCTGCATTCTTCTGCAAGACCAAGTTAAGACTTTACACAGGAAGTGAGGCCTTAGAGATAGAAAAAAAGCATTCTGTGTTTATCTAGGAAGAAAAATAACGCTGAAGGGACGACAGTGTGGTGGAGAAAGATGGACGACAAGGCCTGAGAGGAGGTGGAGGGAAGGAACGCAGAAGAAATAATTGGGGCATGGGGGTGGATGTGATATTGAAAAGTAGGTTAGAACTAGGAAGCTAAAGAATGCAGCAGACTCAAAGGAAGAGTTTTTCTCTCTACCCCAGAGGAGGGGTGGTGGGGAAGGGGGAGAGTGATGTTTAAAGCGAACAAGGGAAAGCCAAGCAACTAAGTACTCGGTTGGGGCTGATTCTTGGACCAGGCAAGCTCATACCTGCAGTTCTGAATCTTTTCATTCCCAAGTACCAAGTAAATTTCTGAGCTCCTAAAGGAGGCTGGGAGGCCAGAGGCTCAATCATCTGAGGTTAAAACTGGACTATTCAGTGAGGTGTGAGCCAAGAGGTTAATGAGGTAGGAAGAGCAACACTGTGGAGTGTTGTAAGACAAACCCAAGTTACTACTTGTCTTCCAGGTTCCAATGAACTCCCCATTAAATGGTGCTGGGGGCTCAATTTCTCACCCCACACCAGCCACCCTGCCATCCGCGGTGTAATTCAAGGGAAATTCGGCTGGACAGTGGACCTTCCTCACCGCGATGAAGGTAGTATTAAAGCAATTCGCAGTGGATACCCACCCAGCTTTGTCCAGGCCTCGAGGAGAGAACTGGGGAGAACACAGGATACAAAAAAAAAAAAAATCACTTCTTTTCTTTCAGTACCCATCACCCATACTCTCCCCTCACTCAAGTGTAAGGAAGCTCGGTGAGAGCAGGGCTTCGTCCTTCGCCGCTGCGGGCCCGCGGAGCAGCGGGGCTGGCACAGAGTGGACGCTCAGCAAATAGTGGTTGCATACTGAATGCGCTCTGCTCAGTTCCACTTCGTTATATTGAAGGATGCCACCGGTGGAGCCGCCGAAGAGAGCGCAGGGTTAAGACTATTTTGAAGGTCCCAGTGGGACGGCCTGCGAAGCCCCGTGCCGACGGCTCTGCAGGGCGGTCGAGAAGGGGATTCGAATCTAGGGCCCAAGACTGCGCGGTTTACAACTGACCTTCCAGCGGGGACGTCCGCGCGGGGCGCAGCAGCCCGGCTCCGGCGTACCGCTCCCGCCGCCCCGCGGCGGCGCTCGGCGCCCGCTGCGCACGTAGGTCACCTGCCTCCTGCTGGCGCCACGCGGCGGGCCAGGCGCGGGCCGCAGGTGTGCCGCGGGCAGCGGAGGGGCGGGATTCGGCGGGGCGCTGCGGGCTGGAGGTCGGGGCCCGGCGCGCCGCAGCTCCGCGCCGAGCCGCAGGCCCACTAGCAGCGCGGCGCCCAGCAGACACCGGCTCAGTGAGCTGCAGCTCCTCCCGGGCGACTTCTCCCTGGCCATGGCCGGGGCAGACCCCAGGGCTGCGTTCGGCGGCCCTCGCGCTGCACCCGGCCGACAGCAGGGTTGTGGCCCCCGCTGTCCTGGGCTGCCACTGTGGGAACACCCCCGGGAGCCAGGGCGCGGACTCAGACCCGCCTCCCCTCCTCCTGTCCAAGGAAGCCTCGGCGTAACCTTATCCTGCCCAAGAACTCCCCGACGCTGAGAGAGGCGAATCGCGGAGGGCCGGGCGGATCCGTGGGGCAAGAACCTGAGCCTAGCATCACCTCGAAGGTCCCTAAGGAGCCTCCCTCCACCCGGGCCTCCAGAGCCCGCGGAACTGAAAGCTACATTGCCAGAAAAAGCGCGTTCCTAACGGGAGGGATCCTGGGCCGCAACTTTATTTTCTAGTACTAGCATTGCTAAAGACACACGGGATAGGTGAGCCGCCAGGTTTTGCTACGAGGAGCAAGTTCTGATTGTCAAGCAGTTTGGGCCATTAAGGACAATATAAAAATATATTGCACTTATGCCCAGGTTTACAACTTCTCTCCCTCGAGAAAGAAGGGGGAGGAGGGAATAGCACTCGCTCAGTGCAGAATAATCAAATTAGAGTTATTCCATTTCTAAATTCTGCCTGAAGCCAGTCCGTGCTTTCTCTCCGTGTTATGAAATGTGTGGGGGTGACGGAGGAGAGAGAAAAAGCCTGCTAAGATAAGTGACAGCAGGGAGACAGAACAGAAGATACTGGCATGATGTAAATCAAATTAATTTAGCTACACACGCACACACACACACACACACACACACACACACACACACACACCTCCCTGCTGTCTTGCAGAGATACAGAGGGACAAATTTATCTTTCAGCAAAATGCTCCCCAGCTGGTATTTTCCTCACCACCTTGACCTTAATTAATCAGGCTGAACGCTCACAGCCTGAAGTCCAATGTTGGCTGTTCCATTTTCAATTGTTAATAAAATTCTTTCCCACAACCCTTTTACAGTTTGGGTTTTAGGTTTAGGTTTGGATTTGGGTTTGTTTTCTTTAGCGGTGGCCACGTTTGTTTGTTTTTTTTGTTTGTTTGTTTGTTTCATGCTTTACACTTTCATTTTTTCGTGTTTCTGTGTAGACTACCCCTGCTGACCTACCTACCCTCTTTACGTAAGAGCCAACAGAATGAACAAGAGAGGTGAAATGTGGAACCCCCTCCACGACACCCCATTTGATTTTCGGGAATTTTCTATAGGGAGCTTTCCTCTCTAAAACCCTTCTGGCTTAAGAAAGACCCAACTTATTCCTCGTCACTGTACAGAGCGCTTGGCCTCTTTCTCTCGGGTAACAACACTCAACCCAATCTAGTCCGTTCGCTGAGCACGTCCAGTCCTCTGGCTCCCGCGTGTTTCATGATGACTGATTCCTTTTCCCTTAGATGCAGCCCTCCAGCCACTGCAGATGGGCTCTGTTTTAAGGAATCCAAGCAAGTGCGTTTTTCCTGACACAGGCTCTAAGAAAAAAGTTGACGCCCTGCGTCTGTTTAAATAACATGTGTGGCAATGCCAGCCGTGCGATTTGTGTTGAATGGAGATTCTGCCTCACAGAAGCTGTTAGGCCTCGGACAAAGTACTCCACCTCTCAGTTTTCGGCTGGATAAATAGACCTATGTATCCGGTAAAATTACAGAGATCACATAAAGTACCATATGTTTAGTACCTAAGTAATACCTGCTCCACAGATGGTAAGTAATAGCAGTTATTTTTATTACTTACCATTAAAGAAAATCGTGGATGTTATCATGGAAAACATAATTTAAGCATTGGTTCCAAGGGGGGTGAAGCTAACAAAGTAAAAGGACATTTGTAAATGACTTTACACAGGCTTCCCTGGAGTTAGGAGGACCCAGCAATGAAGAAACAACCCTTAAGACTCAAGATCCCACAAGTACACTCTATTAAGTTGCAGTGGTATTTGAGGCATGATTTGTATTTGCTTGATAAACCTGGGTCACTGGTGTCTGATGTAGACTTCAGTAGAAGCTTTATTTTTTCATGCAACCTACACAGTGTCACTAACTACAGAAGCAATCATTTGAGGGTTATACCACTAAGTTATGCCCTCTGCTCATCTGTTGAGTTACTCTCCAGAGGGGAAAAATGAGGAGTATCCTATATTAGTAAAATGGGGATATTTAATAAGACTTTGGACTGGGGGATGGAGAGGGAGACACTAGAACAGTGTAGCTCTTTAAGAGAATGGGCAAAATGACCTCATATTTTCCCTTCTGTCATGTCTCTGGTTCTCTAATAATGTTTCCATTATGAGGGGAAAATCTAAATAAAAATGCAATATTTAAATGCCCTTTTCCCTTTTGCAACAGTCTGTATGTGTGTATTACTAATAAAAAGGAATTGTTTATACGTATATAGCATCATTAACTTTCTAGGAAGAAATCTCCCACTTTTAACTTCCACACAATATTTCCCTGTGTCATGGATGAGAATGAATAGTGAGATGGGTCAGTTAGTAGGCTAGAGAGGCAAATCCAATCACCGTCGTAGCTGAAAAGCAGTCTTTCATGCACGACCTTTGCTTTTCGCATAGAGTTGAACTTGTCTTGGTCGTTTCTGGATATGTTTCAAAAATGCAGATAATCATTAGCCACTGAGATGTACATTGGTTAATTAAACTTGCAGGTCAGTAAATCACAAAAGCAGTCTTCATTAGATCATAAATTACATCCTCCTTGAGGTTTCAGCCAACAAAATGAGTAAAACAGAACATTTTTACTGCTATCTCCTAGACACCAGACATTGCAAATTGCACACATGCTGTAGTGCACTGCCTCTCACACTGGGTTAATTTCGCCTCTCAGGGACTTTTGGCAAATTTCTGAAGACATTTCTGGTTGTTACTATAGGAGATGGCGGGGAGAGGATGCTACGAGCATCTAATGAGTAGAGAGCAGGGAGGCTGCAAAACATCCTCCAATGCAAATGATAGCTTTCTGCAAAGAATTATCCAGTCCAAAATGACCAGAAAACTGAAATTGAGAAACCCTGATGTTATACAACATAGATGTTAATGTAGCGACTTTTTTTAAAGATTTTATTTTATTTTTTTTAAAGAGAGGGGAAGGGAGGGAGAAAGAGAGGAAGAGAAACATCAATGTCGATGTTCAAGAGAAGCATCTATCAGTTGCCTCTCAATCCCACCCCCAAACTGGGGACTTGGCCCACAACCCAGGCAGGTGCTCTGACAGGGAATCAAACTGGCAACCTTTCGGTCTGCAGGACAGCATTCAACCCACTGAGCCAACTTTTAATTCCAGACTGTCCAGAGAGAAAATAGGCTGACAGTCAAGGATCCTCACCTCCACTAAGTAGTTATTTCTGCTCCATGATGTGAAGTACTCAGCCTGAATTAAAGTAATCAGATTTAGGGAGGAATAGAACTGGAATTTCTGGCATTAATATCTGCCTTTACCCCACCTATGCCCATCATCATTTCCCCATGTGGTGCATGTTCATCGTGGAAAATGCACACAAGCAACAGAAGATATTGGCAGTCGTTTGCACAGTGTGATTTAGAGACAGCCACCCTCTCGGACATTTTTCTATGCATATACATTGTTTGCAAAAATGAGATCATATTCTTATGATGTCTAGAATTTCCTTTAAAAAATCCAGTTGGGAGGTAAGAGATAACTTGGGGAATAAATGAAGCAAGAATGGCTGAGTTTATCATTGTTATAGCTGTGTGATGGGGTCACAACTCTCTATTGTTGTGTTTGAAATATTTCATAATAAAAATGCCATTAAACAGTAGCTTATTGGCCTACATTAATTTTTTATTGTAGCAACATTGGTTTACAACATTATATAAGTTTCAGGTGTACAATGTTGTAATTTGACATCTGTATATTCCATACCATGCTCACCACCAAAAGTCAAATTTCCATTCATTACTATGCAATTGACTCTCTTTACCCATTTGGCCCTCCCTCCAACCCCCTTCCCATCTGGTAGCTACCAATCTGTTGTCTCCCTCTATGAGTTTGTTTTCGTTTTGTTTTGTTTGTTCATTTGGGGTTTTTTCCACACATGAGTAAAATCATAGGGTATTTGTCTTTCTCCAACTTATTTCCCTTAACATAATACCCTCAAGATCCATCCATATTATTGCAAATGGCAAGATTTCATCTTTTTTTTTGGCTAAGTAGTATTCCATTGTGTATATGAGTGTATTCCATGTCTTCTTTATCCATTCACTTGTTGACGGACACTTAGGTTACTTCCATGTCTTGGCTATTGTAAATGGTGCTGCAATGAACATGGGGGTACACATAACTTTTCAAATTAGTGTTTAGATAAATACACACAAGTGGAATTACTAGATCATATATATTAGTTCTATTGTTAATTTTTTTGAGAAACCTCCATACTGTTTTCCATACTGGCTATACCAATTTACACTCCCACCAGCAGTATATGAGGGCTCCTGTTTCTCTGCATCCTTTCAAACACTTGTTATTTCTTTTATTTTTATGAAGGCCATTCCAACAGGTGTGAAGTGATATCCCATCATGCTTTTGATGTCCATTTCCTTAATAACTAGTGATGTTAACACCTTTCATGTACCTTCTATGGCATTTTTAATGGCTACATTTACCATGATTTAACCAATCTTCCACTGTTAAATGGTTAGATCATTGCCAAGTTTCATTTTATAAACAATGCTGTGATGGACATCTTTTAGCTCAACCTGATAGGTCAGATGTGGACTGTGAGCGAAAGAAAGCAGTCAAGGATGATACCAAGGTTTTTCCAGAGTATTGGAAGAATGAAGTTGCCATTAACTGAGAAGGAAAGGACTCAATTAAAAATGATTTGGGGTGGAAAATTAAGAGCAATTTTGGTGGTCTTGTTAAGTTTGGGACTCCATCCAAGCTCGGGAAGATGTCCAAGTGGAGATGTCAAATAGGCAGTTGTGTTGAAAAGACTGGAATTCAGGAGAGCAGTGAAGGCTGGAAACATACACTCGGTCATCAGCACGTTGACGTTTAGTGAGGCAGGGGAGAAACATTTGAGGACTTAGCCCTGGGTCCCCCAATATAAAGTCAGGA